GTGAATTCTACACTTGGCTAGTTGAATACCAGCCTTCCCAGTTAGTGACAAATTGCTTTTAATAATAACTTCATGCGTATATGTATATATGTGATCAAATCAAAAATATCATGCTGTATCTTAATGCACTGGCTGATTCAGGAAAATACGTATATCTTAAAGTTTAAAATGTTGCCATCTGTCATATGTCTTTGACATAGTCACCAGATAATAAGATTATATGATTTTTTGAAGTTCATAGAATGCTTTTGTGTACCGAGTTTTACCTGCATGAAGGCACTGTGCAAAGCATCGTAGCATGTATTAAGCTAAATCTGACACGGGTCTGTCCTGATGCAATTTACAGTCTAATACTAACAGTGATTGTACTTAAGATCATTGTACCGATGATGTGCAGTGGAAATTCCAGGAAAGAAGAGGTTACTTTCAGCTGAGGCACATCAGGTAGGAATCAGATACGCTGAAAAAAAGATCAGAAGTCAAGACGTGTGAAAGAAAATGCAAACACTAGTGCCTTGGATGACTTAGGGGTTAACTGATTTATTTTGCCCCCCATAACAAGTCTAGATGCAGGCAGTTCAGCAGCCCCTCTGTGTCATCAGGAATCCAGGCTCCTACCTCACTCCCTCTGGCTCCTGCCCGCCCTGCACGCACGGTGCCTCCACCCTCCGGACAGAAGGAGTAAGGGCAGAAGGTAGATGTGTGCTCCCTGGTTTGCTCCTTTTAAGGAGCCTTCCCAGAAGCTCCGCCCAGTGATTGACTTAAATCTCATCGGCCAGAAGAGCATCATGGGGCCTCCCCTGTTTCCAAGGAAGGCTGAGAAATGTTTTTTCTAATATTTTCATTCACGACCAAATCAGGATTCCATTAGTAAGGAAGAAGGAAAGAATGGGTATTGGGTGGGTAACTGGCAGCCTCGGACACATGAGGAAATGTCGCTGAAGCCAGGCTTCCAACGATGGTGAACGCTGGCTGAATATTTTGAGCTGGACCATAAGTGTACCACTTGAACATAATTATCACATTGAAACCTCCTCACATCATCTCAGTGAGTGAGGTCCTATTATTTTGATCATATAAATGAGGAAATTGAGGCTTAGATAAGTGACTTACTCATGGTCACACAGAGATTAAGTCAAGGTTTGGACTGGGTTAATTTAACCCTGAAATCCATGCTCTTCACTGCTCAGATCCTGTAGGGAGAAAGATTTGAAAGAAAAGCATGCCAGTCAGCGAAGCGGGAAAAGACAGAAGTAGGAACTCTCAGGATGTGTACTAGAAACAGTGAGTTTGCTCTGACTGGGTCACAGGATATGCAGAAAGGAGAGGAAGAAAATAGGATTGATGCAGTATTCATTGTGGGCTTTAAATCCATCCTTTCGTTCATTTACTCAGCTAACATGTGAATGCCCACTGCATGCCAGGGACCTCGTTAGACACACTGAACTGGAAGATACCTGTCCTGCCCTCAGGATATCACAGCTCACTAGTGTTGGAAATGCTCCAGGAGAAGCATGTGCAGAAAGTGGGGCACCACCTCCATCTGGGAGGAGCAGCAAAGACCTCCTACAGGAGCTAAGTTCTGAATGGAGTCTTCAAGTAGGATTAGGGATTGTCCAGGTGAAAGTCAGCGCAGGGAGCTTACGGAGAAGGAAATGAACAAAGGCACAGCAAAGGAGCTGCTAATGGTCCATGGAGCTTGACTGGAGAGATGGGCCAGAGGGTTAGGTGGGTTCAGATCATGGACGTCAGGTGGAGTCTTTTAGACTTTTACTACTGACACATTTTGCCCAAAAGACCGATCAATTCAAATTGAGTGGCATGATTTTTCTAAATGTCAGATGCCTCAAATAACAAAATAGTATTTGAATATATCTTATCCATACTTCCTGAATCTTAGTGACATTCTGCATTTCTTTATTTAACAATTAATTTAAAATATTTTCAATTCCATAATAAAGAATACTAAAAATCTATCATGTTATAATGCATTTCACAGCAAAGCTGCATATACTGTATTTGTTCAATCTCTCCATCAATATGTTCTTCATATTGCTGCTCCAGGTAGCTCCTGATTCCTTTGAAGCACCATAATACATGTACAATACAGATACAACATTTATGATAGGTATTTTACATTTTTATTCTTACTGATGCAGAATATCTTTAGTTTGTCAAAAATCTATTTTCTTATCTTGATATTTTCCAAGGTGTTAACTGTATCACCTCACAGAGTTTTTAAAATCACGAAATAGACATTAGATACATTTGGAAAGATCCTGTCAATGTAATTTGTTTCCAGTGATCTGTGGCCTCCTTTCGCCATTTCACATCTAATATTTCATTCTTAGATATTTTAAATAAAGCAGAATAAATTGAAATGCCACCAAATTTAACTTTAATTTTAAGCAACTTTCTTTTCATTGAAATTTTTAAATACAGGGTATATTCAGTTCTCGGGGAGAAAAGATCCTTATGGCAGATGCTGATGGGGCCACAAAGTTTCCAGATGTTGAGAAATTAGAAAAGGGACTGAATGATCTACAGCCCTGGCCTGTGAGTATAAGAATACAGTTTGAATGATACTTAATCAGGAATAGAGGGGGTTTGAAGTAAAATTTAAATGGTGTTTATCTATAAGGTAAAATATTGGGGGATTTTTTTTTTCTGCTGTGAAATTCCTGTACACAGTCCCACAGAAGAACTAATCATTTCATTATAAACATTCACTCATTTTCTGAGAGTCACTTGACAATTACTTATTTAATATTCTCTCTGTCTATCTCTTTCAACTTTAAATTGCTTTACTTGTACCAGAGTTTTAATATTTATCATGCATATTCAGCTAAGGCTTTTATTTAAAAGCCTAGACAGAGACTTCTAGGTTAAGATGTGAAATGAAACTGAATCACAGAACCTTATTTTTGATGAAACAAAGAAAAACAAAATACAAGCAGCAACCATTCAAAAAAGATTATGTGCAAGTTCATGCTATAGCTTCAAAAACTAGAGGTTAGCTTTCACTCAGCGTAATGCATTTGAGATTCATCCATGTTGCTGTGTATATGACTAATTTGTTCCTCTTACTTGCTAAGTAGTATTCCCTTGTATGGGTGTACCACAGCTTCTTTATCCATTCAACTGTTGAAAGACATTTGGACTGTTTTCTACCATTTGGCAATTATGAATAAAGCCAGTATCAACATTTAAAAAAAAAGTGGAAGTTAGGAAAGAAAGAAAATCCTGGTGCCATTCCTACTTTTTAAAAGCCATTTATAGAAAGAAGATGAGTTTACCAAATTCTGAGCTTTTTACCAAATACTCCCAATCTGGAAAGAATCAGACTGAGAGAATGAGTTAGCAGCCATGGACAACAACAAACAATACACCTACCTACCATCACCTAGAATCCCAGAATTTCAGTAGAAGCAGAAATTGCTAGGACTCACCATTGTCAGGGCTTCCAGCTGGGTTTGGGTTGGTCACAGGTCCATGTGATTAGATCCATTCCTCTGAGGAGTGTACCTACCCTTGTACAGGACATAACAAAACCTCACAACAGCAAGGAACCGAAGTAACCCCACAAAGCTGCACAGAGCTCTCGGGTGCTCCCCCTGCCCCACCACCCCCAGCCGCCAATGTAATCCAAGGAAAAGGATAAAATTACACAAAAGTATTTTTGCTAAAGAAATAACATTTAATGAAAACAAGAGTTTGGCAACAAAAGCATTTGGACGTGAGATGAAAAACAGCAGAGTGATAACAAGAGAAATGACAGAACTAAGGAAGCAAATTGAGGGCCAAAATAAGATCAAGAAATAAGGACTATCCATGAATGAAGTACTCCTGTTTTAGATCTGATCATTATTATTATAAAATTGTTAAAATAATCCCTATTCATTCAAAAACACATGTAAAACCCAGTAAAGCAAAACCTCCAAAAACACAGAAAATTTAGTAATTTTCAAAATTCACCTCATATTCCTCTTTCTAGAAAAAAAAATCTATTTAACTTCATAGTTTGTGAAATACTGTTTTCCCCCTGCTATCACCCACTCCTTCCTTTTAAAGATGCTAAATACATTAACTAATATAATTCTTAAAAAAATTAGTTCTGAAAATATCCCTTTTACCTGCACTATTCAAGCAGTAGCTACCAGCCACATGTGGTTATTCAAACTAATTAAAACTGAGTAAAAGTTTAGTTCCTCGGTCTCACTGGTCACATTGCAAAAACTTGTGACTGGTAGCTGCCTTATTGGCTAAGACAGATGTAGAACATTTCCAAAATCCTAGAAAGTTCTGTTGGACAGGGCTTCCTTATGTCATATATGACATTATTATTGGATATGTGATATGTTCACTCTTACTAAAAAAGTTTTTCTTCCACCTCTTAGTAATCATGGTAAGCTAAAAGAAAAATCCCACTGGTGAAGTTCTTGGCTTTGATTTCCTGGTTCTGTCCCCAGAGAACCCACAGAGACTTGATTAGTGTTTCTCTTGCATTATTTCTCTAGCATGGGGACCTAAGAGTGGGAGAGAGACTGGAAGATGTGAGGTTGCTAGCAGCTGACTTTATGTAATTCTACAGGGGGGCCAAAGTTAGAGGGTCAGCCAAACTATAAACAGGAAAAAAATCTGCACCTTCCTCTAGTGAATCTGGTTCCCAGTGTACTACTCCAAAGAGGACAGGAGTTCTGATGTCATCTTTTTGTTCCTTATCATAATCCAGTGCACTGCACTGTTACTAGAAATGTTGAGATTTGAAGAACTAACGTATATGGTCATGACTAAGCTGTTGATTCACAGCCTATTCTAGGTACCTCAAGACATGCCTGATTATTTAAGGGTATCACAACTTACTTGAATTAACTTGAACTCAATTTATTAAAAATTTTTTAATCAATATGCATCATATAGCACTGTTTGGAAGAGGTGGAAAAAGAAAGATAATTGATAAGTCGTTAAAGTTCCAAAATCCATAGTCTCTTAGTCAACCCAGTGAGAATTATTTTTGAATTAGGACTCCCAGTTCTGACACAGCTTATGCACACTCGGTGTTGTGCTCAGAAAACTTACCCTCTGCCCCTAACTTGCAGAGAGAAATCAAAAGGAATCTTCTCATCCTTCCCAACTCAGTTATAAAGCCCCTCTTTACAGTAAATATAAATCTGTCTCCTTTTAATCAGCCCCTTTGGTTGGTTCTATTTTTTGTAGCTACACAAAACAGTCTATTTCTACTTCTTTGTGACAACCCTTCAGAGAGTGAGAGCTGTTTCCCATGTGTCTTCTCTAGTTTGGGCTGTCAGTAGTTATTTCAGTTTTTAAATAGCACATTTCTTATCATCCTGAAGCTGGTGAGGATCTGATTACACCATGACTTTGTTACCTCATAAGACCAACTTTTTTACATGCACTGCCACTGAGCCTTCTCTCTCATCCTTATACTGGTCCAGCTGTTATTTCTGTTCCTGTGTTTCCTTTGCTTTGTCCTGTTTAGGAGTAGAAGTGTGCTCTTAATTCATCCCTGTTACACACCAGCATATTCTGTTTCCGCTTCTCAAGATGTAGATTCTTCTTCTGCCTTTAATGCAGTTGCTCTTCTCTTCTCAATTCATTTAAGCCACAAATTGGATAAGCATGCCTGACATATATTCCCTTCAGCCCTAATGAAAAGTGACTTGAATAGTTCTGAAAATAATGAAACAGGAACATGGGTTTCAGAGTAGTCAAGTCCTGTAATGACTACATGGCTAACTCACTAGATGGCAGTAGCTGCCTTAAATGTCCTTTACAAACAGCATTGGTTTGCCAGGCTCTCCAGCGTGTTCTTCAGTGGCTTCTGTTGTTTTCTTTCTTCTCAGCTGATTTTATTTTTAACTGCAACAATAAGAAATCTTTTATCACAGCTGACCCCTGAACAAGGAGGGGGTTAGGGGCGCCTACCCCCCACCTCCCTGCACCAGCCCAGTTCAAACCTGTGTTGCTCAAGGGCCACTGTGCTTCTCACCTGCATCTCCTCTTAGAGTCACCAGGTCACATGTTCTCGTCTGATTATTCTTACTGGATGAACTTAATAAAGTTGCTTGACAGTTCTCTTCTGAAGATAATTATTCTTTTAAGGTTCTGAACTAAATGTGTATAATTTAATTAGAGCTTTGTATGACAAACAAATGCAATAGGGATTTACATCTGATTCCAAATATTTTATTTGTATTTTTTTAATGTGCAGAGATTTTCTCCCAGCTTTTCGATTTCCAAACCGGTAGTTATTCTACCTCTTGTTAAAAAAATATGCTTGATTTTATGTAATCAAACAAAGTGTGTGATGATCACTTGTTCAGTGGCTTAACTACTTGACATAGAATAAAAGAAGTCCCTAAACAGGGAAACAGATGACAAGATGTCTGTACTCCATAATCAGAGAGTAATTCCTCAGGCCATGACTCATATCTTAAATTCTCATTTAGACATACTTTCAACAAGCTTGGCTTTTAGGCTTTTAAGGTCACAGATAATTAAATGTAATGGATATGAAAGAGATGTCAAGTAAAATTACATTAAGAAAAATTATAGGAAACAGATATTAACCACACACACAATTCAATCTGCAGTGATTGCTAACTAATGACCCCGGATGTTCCTTTGTCTCCTTGGCCAAGTGAAGTTTTGGTATACCAACATTTCCTATGTGTATGCGTGGCTTGCTTGTTCCTAGAACAGAAGAACATGCCACTTAACTGCTTCCCTTTTCTGTGGACCATGTGGGCAGGTCTAAGAACGTGGTATATTTGTTTCACCCTCGCAGTACGTAGGTGGATAACCAAGCTTCCGAAAGGGATCCCTTCACTTCCCAAATCGTTTATTTTATAGACCAGGGAGTTACACAAGCGTTTTGCCGAGATCTCTGTGAAAATCTAACAAAGAGAATGCGAAAATTTAAAAGGCAGTCTTAAAAAACATAAAAAGCGGTAGATTGTATGTAATAAAACTTCCATAAGAGTCTGTCTCAGCAGATCACAAAGTGTGTTTCCCAGACCTCCGAAGGGCAAGGTCTGCCTATCAGAGCAAGTGTTTTGTTTAGTGCCAGCAAACCTAGCTGGAAAGTGCATCTCTCTTAGACAGGGAACAGCAGCCTCTTTCCGTAAAGGGCCAGAGAACACAGGCATTCATCGTTTTAGGGCATTTTGCCTTGCTGTGCTACTCAGATACTGCATTTTTTACAAATTGAATGTTTGTGGCAACCCTGCCTTGAGCATGTCTTATCAGTACCATTTTCCAAAAGCATTATTTATATATATATATATTTTTTATTGAAGTATAATCAGTTTATGATGTATTAGTTTCTGGTGTACAGCATAACAGCATTATTTTTTAATTAAGGTATGTACAGTATATTTTTAGACATAATGCTATTGGGGGGAGGGTATAGCTCAAGCTTTAGAGCACATGCTTAGCATGCACAAGGTCCTGGGTTCAATCTCCAGTATCTCCTCTAAAAATAAATAAATAAACCTAATTACCTCCCCCCCCAATTTTTTTAATAAATAAATAAA